GAATAAGACGGGACTATTGGGTGGTTGACTGGGTAGGTCGGAGACCGCCGAGTAGTTGACCAGACTGGATGGGAGCTACCGAGTCATTGATCAGATCATATCGGACCGGGACCGCCCGACCGTCGACCGGACCGAACAGGTACCGCGTGGTCGTGAATCGGACCGAACAGGGACCGTCGGGTCATCGGACCGGACAGGGTCCAGCGGGTTGTGGACCGGACCGAGATCGTTGAGTCATCGACCGGACCATAACGGGGTCGTCGAGTCATTGATCCGATCGAACAGTGACCGCTGGGTCATGGATCAGATCGGAAAGGGGCTGTCAGGTTGTGGACAGGAGCGGGATTGCTTGGCCTTCGACCAGTCTGACAGGGATCAACGGGTCAATACCGGTCCGGACCGCTGGATCATTGAACGGACCAGATAAGGACGGTCGGGTCATTAGCCGGACCGGACTAGAACTGACACTGGAGTGGGACCGTATCCACAACTAGGCGTAAGTATGCAAAATTCATTGCAGCGTCATTACAACATCCACGTTTTCCAAATTTGGAAAACTAGTAAAAGTCACTTCTCCAATTCATTAAGGAAAACAGAGACGCGTCTCATTTTTTTGGTTTTGGAAAACGATTTGGTAAACACATTTCTCTGTTTTCTTTTTCTCCAGTTTTCCAGCAATTTTCTTTGGTAAACAGGTTTTATGTTTTCCTTTTTTCAGTTTTCCAGTTTTACAGAAAACTGGAAAATATCTCTCTTAGTAAACAGACCCTAAATGTTTTGCCTTATTTTTTTCTTAGAAAAAATTGACTGGAATAATCCTAACTATCAGTATTCCACTTTTGATAATCCCTACTACGTAGTATTATTTCTGTTTAATCCGTACTAATGGTGTGTCTTCCGTAATTGGTCTCCATTGACTGGGTACCCGCTCAGGCTGTGAAATTTTAAAAAAGTAAACATTACGTACCCCATTATCCCCCATCCGTCGTTAGTTTACTTGGCTAAAACTTAATGCATATTCAGAGAACAGTTGAGTCTTCCTCGGTCTTCCCCTTTTCTTTAAATCGAAACCATAAATGTCAATTTGTTCAGCTAAAATGTTGTCTGCGTGTTTGCTCTTCAACATCTAACCGGTGTCGCTGCCAAGGGAAGAGAAACAAAGGAAGGAAGCAAGTGACGAAGGGAAGAACTTGAGTCTGGTGGTTAAAGTGATGCTACAGGTAAATCATTTGATTTTTTGAAATTCTTTTTACTGGAATGGAGTATAATGGTTATTCGATTTGTACAGGATGTGTATCTAGAAGGTCAAGAGGAGCTAGAGGTTCCACTGTTTGGTTCAGATGATGACACAGGTTGGAATGCAAAGATTGTTGACATAGCAAACCAACTTGAAAAAGAAGCCGTTAAAGGGAGTAAGAGGCCATCAACCACAAATTCTAATGATCAAGGTGAATAACAAGATAATGAATTTGTGAGCGAATATGAAGAGACTGATGAAGATATCCATACACCTCCAGAGAGTGAAAATGGGGACATGCAACCAAGAAAGGGAAGTGATAAAGTTGTTGTGGTAGATGCATCTACAGATTTCAGTAAGCTAAAGTGGGTGGTTGGCATGAGGTTTGGAAACAAAGAGAAGTTTGAGAGAGGAGGAAGGGTAATCCATGGAAGAGGGGGGAGAATAGAGGTGGCAGTAGAGTGGTTAGGGGGAGCAGAGGTAGAAGCTCACAAGGCAGAGGAAGGGGACAACTTCCTGTTGGATATGGTGTAATTATTGATGACCATGGACATAGTTGGACTAATGTAAGAAAATATCATTACTTTTACATACAGTATATTACTCTTTAAACAGTTGTTCTAACTTCACGTATTTTTTCAGAGTCCTGGGCAAGATGGAGGGCCAAGAAGTCTATCTGATACATGAAGTTTGTGTTGATTAGAACTTAGAAGAAATGGATGAAGAAGTCTATCAGATGCATCAATGTGGGAGTCAAGATTATTAGAAATTTAGTGTGGAAACTGACACTTTGTAAAACTTCAGATGAACATGTATTTCAAGCTTTTGGGTGTGGAGATTTTCAGATTTAAGAGTGCTGATTAAACTTAGTTTCTTCTCATGTTTAATGATCTGATAAAACTTGAGTGTGGTGAACATGTATACGATGCTTTTGATGATCTGTAACTTTTGTTCAATTCTCTTACATTGCTTCCTTTTTTTCTTCTCATGTATCACTGTGAATGAATCTATGTGTGGTGAACATCTGTTTTGACTGCTTAGTAGTACTTTTTTTTGGTTGTGTTTGGTAATTGGCGTTTCAGCCAGAAATTGGAGGGTTTGACCAATTTAGCTCTTTGAAAGTCTGGAAACGTTGTTTGGTAATTGGCGTTTTTGCTCAGCATCTTGGATGAATCCGCCAAAATAGAACATGCTGATTTTATTAGTTAATTAGACTGATATATTTTTGTATTCTTGTGATTTTATTGAGTCATATTTTAATCTGTAAGTTGAATTTTTTATCAATTACGTAGTAATACATTAATAGCATTATTAAAAAAATGGATACTAAAATCTATTAATGCATGTCTTCATATGTCTTTTTACCTACTAACCGCTATAAACAAACAACTAAGTTATCAAACATTTTTTTGCAACCCGCCAAATTAATTCGCTGGTCAAATCCGCTGACTCAATCTGCTATTTTTGATCTGCTAACATTACCCGCTAACCGCTAACCACCTATTGCCAAACATGGCCTTTAGGTCTTAATGTTTGAGGTGTGAATGAATATATGTTCATGATTTAAAGTTACAGTTTTGGAGACTTAAAGTTTGAGGTCTTAAAGTTTGAGGTCTGATCTATGTTACAGTTTTGGAGACTTACAGTTTTCCAGTTTGAGGTCTTACAGTTTTTGAGGTCTGAATGAATCTGGTTTAGAACAGCAGTTGGTTTTTAAACATGCAGTTGGTTTTTAAACATGCAAATATATTCTGAATTTATTTTCCAGAATTTGAACATTACTTTGCTTTCAGATGGTTTTTGAACATTTAGAGCATTACCACAAAAAAATGATGCACTGCTATTATACAACATCATAGGAATGAAACTGAATGTTTTGGTCAACCAAACTTTTCATTTACAAAAAGTTGCAAGTTACTACACACAACAGAATAAAACAACAAATACATCACTTGTAAATCTCCAACAACAACACACACCACTAATACACTTATCACTTGAAGTTCCCATACAATACTTGTAATACTCCAACAACAGCACACACCATAAACACTAACACAATTCTCACTTGGAGTGCCCATACAACACAACAGCAAACACAATCCAAGATACAAGCAAAGCAATGAATAAGTGCTTCTCTCCTTTAGCATGCTTGAAAACTAGTCTTTGCAACTCCTCATTTTTAGTTCTCAACTTTTGTTTCTTCTTTTTCAGCTTTGCAATTTTCTCTTCCAAATTCTTTTTCTCCTCATCAAGATGCTGGATTATTCATTCCTTTTCCCCTTTCTTATCATCATCAATTGCCATAGATGGATAATCCACAACCCATTGAAAAAACTCACAATCTTCTTTCTAAAAAAAAACACATACTTCATACATGCTATCAGTAACAATTTCTAAAGAAATTTTTTTAAAATTTAATCTTTTAATTTACTTTTAGTCCAAACAAATGCATAAATTAGTCCAACTTACCGGCCATAACGCACAACCATAAAACATTCGACCACGATTTGGCCCTGATTTTACTGTCCTAGTTTTTGAAATCACTTTGTGGTGGCATTCAACTGAACAATCGATTTGGGTTTCACCTCTCCCTCCCCGACAAGATGACCAAGATGTTGAACTCATTGATTCAGCGACTCCTCTGGCAAAACCTGTAATTTACGATTGAAGCTCGTGAAGAAGACCTGCGCATTGGAGAAGAAGACGGGGAGATGATAAATGGGAAGGAATTACGTGAGTGCAGAGGCCGGACTGGGCCGATACAAAGAATATTTTTAGAAAAAAAATTACACAACTTTTTTTTACCTTAAAAATTAATACATTTTTAAAATTTGGGATGGATCATGGCCTAGTTTGGCCCACCCTAGCTCCGCCCATGTATGGTAACCGGCTGTAAATTATAACAACAGGTCAAGGACCAATTACAGAAGACACCCCATTAGTATGGATTAAACAGAAATAATACGTAGTAGATTTATCAGAAGGGGACGACCTACAGTTGTGATTGTTCAGTCAATTTTTCCTTTTTCTTATTTGTTTATTCTTCTACATACGCGACCCGACAGAGCACCATCCACACAGACCCATACCCTACTTCAATTGACCGAATACAACCAAACCGATTCCTCCCGATTCTAATTACGTTAAACAAATATGCTAGGGAGCTTGTTCGGCGATCTCCCACCGCCGTCTTCCTCTGCCGAGCCAGATGAGAAGTCCGCAGGCGGCAATGTTTGGTCGAGCAGCACAGCGAAGATGGCTCCATCCGCCCTCCGCAAATCCTTCGCACCCTCCCAGACTGTTATCCGACCTCAAACCCTACTCAAGCCTAAACTCCCCAAACCTGCCCTTCATCAGACCAGTGAGGATGCCAACCCCAATCCTAATTCCCACCATTCGGCATCGTTTCATCCGGCATTGGTTGCCATTACGAGCACCGTCATAGACGAATATGATCCTGCCCGGCCGAATGACTACGAGGAATACAGGAGGGAGAAGAAGAGGAAGCAGATGGAGGCAGAATTGAGGGAAAGGGAGAGAAGGGAGATGGAAAGGGAGAAGGAAAAGGAGAAGGAGAAGGAGAAGGAGAGGGAGCAGGAGTTGAACCTCTCAGGCGAGGAGGCATGGCGGCGAAGAGCTTTCATAAATGGTGGAGGTGGCAATGTACCGAGGTCACCATCACCTCCTAGTAAGGGAGAGTTTAATATCGGGGGCAGATCCGATACTGCTGGCTTGGGGTTAGGAATGGGGGCAGAGGGAAAGATGACTATGACGGCTGCACAGAGGATGATGGCCAAGATGGGGTGGAAAGAAGGTCAGGGACTTGGCAAGCAAGAACAGGGGATTACTACTCCTTTGATGGCTAAGAAGACTGATAAGAGAGGTGGAGTGATTGTAGCTAGTGAGGAGGTTAAACAGCCAGAGAAGAAGGTTAAGAGTGTTAATTTCAATATGCCTCCAACTAGGGTTGTACTTCTGAGGAACATGGTATGTTTCCATCCACATTCTTTAGAATTATGTTTTATCTAAGTTCAAACAAATATGCAATCTGTTAGTGTTTTTTTATAGAAATTCTATTTACATGCAAGTAAAGTCTACCTTTTTCATGGGTTTTTCTGCTTTTTACACCTCAGGTGCATATATTGTAACGTGGGGGCAAATTTTGTAATTGCTTGTTTAAAGTTAACTTTTCTCATTTGATGGTTATTTGGTCGTTTTTTATGGAACTACTCTGTTTTTATGAGAAGCACAACAGTAGCAGAAATTAAGAAAATCTTGTAAGAGAACAAAAAAGTAGTTGTATTGTAGCTAGTGAGGAGGTTATACAGCCAGAAAAGAAAGTTAATAGTGTTGGTTTCTATATGCCTCCGGATAGGGTTGTACTTCTGGGCAACATGGTATGTTTTCATCCACATTCTTTAAAATTATGTGTTTTCTTAGTTCAAATAAATATGCAATTTGTTGATGTTTTCTTCCGAAATTCAGATTTTCTGGAATAGTTATTGCAAGTATGATTTCTTTGCAAGTAGAGTCTACTTTTTCATTTGTTTCTCTATTTTTCAAACCTCGGTAGATATATTATAGTGTTTATTGGCTTGTTTAAAGTTTATCCTTTTCATTTGATGGTTACTTAGTTGTGTTTTATGGAACTACTCGGTTTTAATGAGAAGCACAACGTAGCAGAAATTAAGAAAATTGTCTAAGAGAACAAAAAAAGTACTTGTATGTTGCAACAACAACATCCAAGCCTTAGTCCCAAAAGAGTTTGGAGTTGGCTAACATGAATCGACATATGAAATCAGAGCTAAAAGGATAAAGAGGATAAAAAGATCAGATATGTGCTTGTATGTTGCATTAGGTAATAATTTTGTGTGCAGAATCTTCCGCATTCCAATATTCCATCCTTTAACCTAGGAAGCACGGAAACCCGAGAAGGGGGAGGTTTCCGTCCCGGAAACGTTTTGGAAACGCGAAACGCCCGGAAACGCCCGGAAACGCGATGGAAACGTCGGGAAACGTTTTTGAGATGTTGGGCCGTTGGGCTGGGTCGGGGAAACGTTTCGGAAACAGCGCTGGGCTTGGGCCTACGCGTTTCTGCAGGAAAAAAAAAAGACTTTAATCGCTTACCTCTGTGATGATCCGAAGGCTGCGAACGAAGAAGGGTTATCTGCGAAGACTGCGAATTTGCGAAGTGCGAACGAAGTGCGAACTGCCAAGGAGACCATCGACCATCGCCCATCTTCATCGCCTGGACTCCTGCGAAGCAGGGAGTGGCCCGGAGTGCTGCTGTGCTGCCGTGCTGGACTGGTGGTTCGCCGTTCGCTATTCACTGGACAGGACGGAACTCACGGAAGGAAGAAGAAACTTATATTACTAAAAATATTAATTTTTAGTTTGACGTTTCTTTGCCGTACCCGTTTCCTGATATTTTGAGTTTAGCGTTTCCCCGTCCTCGTTTCCGTTTCCGTTTCCGTTTCCATCCCGGTGCTATTTAGCCATTAACTACAGGGTGTTACTGCTATCTCCCTCTTTTGATCCTCAAATTGGATTTCCCACGCTCTTAGGTTTTGGATTTGAAACTACTGAGCCCAAGACTATAAATTGGCAGAATAAAACAAGAACATATATATGGCTTATATGCTCATGATATGCACACAGTATTTGTAGTATCGATAACATTATAATGTTGTTTTATGCGGAGTAGTATTTCACTATTTTGTATACAATAGGAGGCCTTTTATTGGTCTTCTCAGAATAATACCACCTAAATGTAATTTCAGAATAATCTAACCTTTGCACTCTATTTTCTTTCGTTGGTCCTTGAGTGTTTCATGACTTCCAGGCTTTTTATGTTTTCTTTAAAAAATATTAAACAAATAATCTCACCTTTTATTGTTCTTCTCAAAACGGTCTCATATAACATTTCCCCCATTTCCCTAGAATTTTTCTTTTTTTATCCCTCAACACTTTTTTATTCTTGTCTTCTTGTTCTTATTTTTTCCATGTCTCTGTATTTCCTCTCCGATAGGTTTTTTTGCCTTTCTTCTTCTTCTTGTATTTTAATTTCATTCCCCTTTTTATTATTTTTCTTCAAATTAATTTTCTCTTTATGAAAGTTATTTTCATTCTAATTTTTTCTATATGCTCTTTTTTCTTCCACTTGTTTTTTCATTTCTTCTTCTTCTTCTTCTTCTTAACTTAATTCCACCATCAATATATTTCTCCCTTTTTTGCATTGTATTTTTCTATGTAAGTCCGTCCATCCACTAATTTAATCAAATACGTGGAAAACGATATGTGATAAAAAACTAGGAAAAACTGAAATATAAACAAAAACAAAACAATCGGGGAAAAGTAAGAAAGAAAAAGAAAAAATCGATATATACTCTTTACACGAAAAATTATAGATTGGAGAGGATCAGCTAAAAAAAGAATAAAAAAAAAGAAACCTAGAATGATAAGTCACAAGTCACTAACATGCCAAAGACTAGCGAAAAAAGATGAGGTGAAAAGGGAAGAAGAAAAAAGCAATGACTTCTAATATGGTGAAAGAGGGGAAAAGGAAGAAGAAAAAGGAGAATAAAAAGGAAAAGAAAAATTGAAAATAAAAAAGAAAATCATCACGGGTAGGGCGGGAAAAAAATTCTTCTGTAAAAAGGGTACTAAACCAAATAGTAGTACATAAAAAGAGAAATAGAGTAAAAATTGGTAAGAAGGAAAAACGAAAATAACTATCAAGGTCAAAAAGGGTCAAAAAGTCCTTGTACTATTTCCAGTCCATCGCTTAACCTCTATACCAAAGAAGTACTACCTCCATTAAAACACTGCCATTTTTAAAACTTTCACCAACCAGATATTTTTATTGAAAATTATTTATAATATAAAAATTATATGAAAATGTTCTTTGTTAAAAGTGCTTTCATAAAACAACTTGATCTCTGTTCACACTTTGATTATTTTTAGTAAATAAAATTTACATATTCGAAAACTACATTAAAACCGCTACAAAGCCTGATTAAAAAATGTAATTTTGATAAAAATTTGATATACAAAGAAAAAGATTAAGAATGATTTAAGTTGACCATGTGAATAATGATTTGAAACCTTTGAATGGGACGGAGGTAGTACTAATTAAAATCATAATTTAAATTTTATGAAATGACAAAGTTTTTTGGACGGAGGTAGTATCATATAAGTACGCTTACTTTAAAAAATTGATCAATCTGGCCATTTAATAAGTTTTTTACCTGTGATAGCAAGCTCTTTATATTAAAAAACTTTAAAAAAATATTTAAATTTGAAGAAATATAGATAAAAATGTGAAAATTTTCAGAATGTTAAAGTCAATATTTTTCATTTTGGAAATTATTTGTATATTCTACATCTATTTAAAAGGTTTTTACATCTTCTATTTTATATTCTTTACATTTTCACTTTATTTTTTCAGTTTTTATTAAATTATTTATCCATTTTTACGTTTATACTATTTTTTATATTATCATAACATTATTTTTCAAATTTTTCAAATTTGTATGAATTTTAAAACATTTATCAATAGTCTTAATTTCTTTTAAAAACAATAACCTGCTATAAGAGGTCAAAATGGCTTGATTGATTGTATTTGAAAAGTAAGCGCACTTATATAAACAATCTTTTTCCTGGGAAATTATAGACAATCTTTTTTCTGATAGGGCGGAAAGGGAATACGTAAACAGGGAAAATAAATAAAAATAAAAATGTTATGGAAAACGAGAAGAGAAACTGCCGAGATGATAAAAAATAAACAGGGAACGCTTTAGATAGAAAAGAGAAGGAATGATATATGAGACTGTTTGGAGAAGATCGGCAAAAGTTGAGATTATTTGCTTAATGCGTTAATGTTTTCCAAAGAAAAGCAAAAAACTTGGAACAATAGCTCATCGGCAGTCAGGGACTTGCGAAAGAAGATGAGGTGCAAAGGTGGAGTTATTGTGAGATTATTTTTAGGTGAGATTATTTTGAGAAGACCGGTGAAATGTGGGGTTATTGTTGTCAATTTTCCCCCTTTACATGAATACGTTTTTGAAATAAATAAGCCTGAGCACAATATATGCGTTATTTGCTAACAGCTGAAAAAAGTATGAATGCTTCCGAGAAATACTGTTGCTGTATAAAAAGAGGTGTTGTCAATCCTGAATAGCGGAGTGGTCTACCACAGAAGCGCTATAGCTGATAGTGGGGTGACTGCTATTCATTCATACACCTCTTATGTAGAATACGTAATTATATTTATGCATACAATTACATCACATACATATATGACATCCAAAAATGTAAGTATTACTTAGTATCGTTCCTCATCATATTTAGATATTTTATATATTCTGAAGTTTCAATAAAAAGACATCAGTCTTGAAATCCTAAATCTCATGTCACACTCTTCTTGTCTTTTAAATCTTTTAAATTATCCCACAGCAATGCAATGTCAAGATTATCTCCAATAAGCTTTTGTAAGATCCTGACTGAGACTTGGAAGAGCAGAAATTATAAGAGAAGTTGGAGAAAAACATAGTTGAACGCTGAGTTGTGCCTCAGTCATTGAACAACCAGAGAAGAAACGAGATACTACCTTTTTTTAAATAGTTGCAACATTAGAAATTTAACACTATTCACATACTCTACTTTGACTGCATTTTATTTACAAATGCATTAGAATTTTTAAAAAAAAATATTATTAAATTCTTCTCATTTAGAATTTTCAAAATGTGATTTTTTTAATTTTTTAAGATTATAAAATTAAATATACTACGGGTCAAATTTGTGCCTTGGAAAACGTGAAAGTGGAAGCGTTGCAACTAAAAGATGAACGGAGGCAGTATTTTTTAAGATTGGGATGAGTTTTATGACTTAGGGTTGTAATATTGACATATTGTTACTTTTATTTTACCCTACTTTACCCCTTTAAGACTGATAAAAACCAAAAGTATTCCAAAACATCGTGTGCAGACCATCCAAATTTCAGTAGCACCGCTATAGTTGTCCGCAACAACGCTGTTTCCCTGCTATAGCGGCTGCTATTGCCACAACAGCCAACTGCTCCGCTACGGAGACTTCTTGCGCCAGGTTACCGCTCCGCTCAGCTCCACTGCTATAGCGCCTCTATTGGGCGCTAATTGACATCACTGATAAATAGGACTGTTGACCCCTTCAATAATATGCCTTACACTATAAATCATAGTGAGTATATCAGACATAATTATTTGTCATTAAATACTGCCACGATCAGCAAGTGAAAATTGGAACAGTAATTATTTGTCATTAAATACTGCCATGATTTATACAGAGTATCATTTTCTTCAAGCCTGACCTCCCCTTTGCCTAAGTTCCTTTGCTTGTCTGGTATCATGAAGACTTAAACCTTGTATATGTGTGTGCGTGTGTGTGTGTGCCTAAGAGAGAGAGAGCTAGGCCTGAAACCATTTTCTTGTCTTCTTGCTCTTGGAATAGTTGTCATTGTAGATTATGATACTCTTTTTTCTTCATAAAACCAGGTCCTGTTAGTTCTGATTCTATCATGACCATAGTGTGTGGCGGCTCTTCTTGCAGGTGGGACCTGGTGAAGTGGATGACGATCTTGAGGGAGAGGTGGCCGAAGAATGTACCAAATTCGGGACAGTGACACGTGTACTTATATTTGAGATAACGGAATCAAACTTCCCTCATGACGAAGCAGTCAGAATATTCATTCAGTTTGAGAGGGCAGAGCAAGCAACAAAAGCACTTATTGAACTTGATGGGCGTTTTTTTGGAGGAAGGATTGTTCGTGCGGGCTTCTACGATGAAGAGCGGTTTGGTAAAAATGATTTGGCCCCCTTGCCTAGAGAAATTCCTGGTTTTTGACAAAAGTTCAGCTTTGGCAAAATGAAAAGTTTTGGCCACTTCTATATTCTATCATTCTATGCATTTGTCGCATATCCTATCATTCCTATGCCTGTTTAAAGAAAAGAAGAGATTAAGTGGCAGAGTGATAGGTTATATAAAAATTACTCCCCGCTCCCCAGAAATCGGGAATTAATGTGTGAAAGCCCTCTTTTGATTTAGGGGTGGATCCAGTTCTGGAACCAATCAGATAAAACACTTGGGAAAGATGTTTTTAATGGAATAGGATTATATTAAGATTTTGAAAACCCAGACTCATCATATCATAACAAGCTCTAGGTTTAGATGTACAGTTATTTGCTCTTAATCAAGGGCAATGACTCACTAGCCACAAAACGGTCAACATCAATCCTATAAATTTATAATGATCAATTTGATGTTCATGTCATCCAACTCTCTAAACTTTTCCCTCCTAACAATCATACACCTCATAATCCATTAATCCAAGATAAAAAAACCATAACAAACAAGAAAAGTATTTAAAAATACGAAAAGAAAATAAAAAGTTATAGTTTAATTAGTAAAAAGTTTGCATTCACTGAAAAATATTTAAGTCTCACTTTTCAAGTTTTTCAATACACCTCTCAAGTGATAAATTTGAAATAAAAACAGTAGAAGCATTTAAAAATATGAATAGAAAATTAAAAATACAAAAATTTCAAAACTGTAAATTGACAGTACTTATAAATTATAATTGTTATAAATTCAGAATACAAATTTAAAAACATACAACAAAAGATTATTCTAGGAACACTATCAAATAGAAAAAGTCATTTAAGCTCTTGAACTAAATTACAGCCAATTAAACCCAACAACTTTAGAAGAATAATCAAATTTAAAATGGCCATCCAAGTTTTATTTTTCCATTTCCCTTTTTCTTTTTCTTTTTCCTGCTCCTACGTATAGTCATGGACCCAGTCCGGTTCCTGGTCCGGGACCAACCGGTCCCAATTCTAAAATAGTGAAGCCTGGTATCGACCCAGTTTGGTAATGTACTAGTTCCGGTCCAGGTACCCGGGCGAGTCACGGGTCAATCCACCTTCCATTTAAAAAAATATTTTAAAATTTGACCATTGGGATCGGAACCGGGCCCGGGAGCAGCCAGTCTGATCCCAAATTCTTCAGCCCATCCCACCTTGAAGCCGGTCCGGTTATCGTGCACGCACCTGTACCGGGAAACCGGTCCTGGTCTCAACTAGTACCGATCCTGGGCCTGTGCGGGCCGCCTGACCCACTCCAACACTAGTTGCGTACACTCATTCGTCTTCCGTCATTCCCCCCTACTTATTTCTTGTTCCTTTCTTTTTGTTCTCCTTTCTTTTCTCTTCCTCCTTTCCTTTGAGTCTGCAAAGTCTTCGGCCAAGCATTAGGACAATTTGCCGGAGATGAAGAAATCCGTACGCCGGATGTCGAACACGTCGGTCAACCGCCATCCTTGGTCAAGAATGGCGGTGCAGAATTTTCCCAAATTTAGAGCTCTTCGACCAAGACGCTATCCTCTCAGAAGGTGTTCAAGATGTACGCCGGAATTCAAAGCTCTTTAGCCAAGCTGCCATCCTCACCGGAGGTGTAGAAGACGTTCGCCGGACTCTTTAGCTCATCGGCCAAGCCGACATCCTATCTGTTGTCTGCAACCTTCTCGAGCCAATACTTGTCGCCGCCTACCAAGATCGGCACCAAGCAATGACCGCAATAGGAAGGTGAAGATCTCCGCCGCCCAAGCAGCCCTCTTCGTCGGAGTTCCTCACTTGAAGCACAATGTGTTAGATTGAAGGAAAAAGGGGGGGAAGAAGTTGGGGTGGGTGGGAAGAAGAGTGGAGAGAAATGAGAAGAAGGAAAGAAAAATTCAAGAAGAAGAACTCGAGAAGGGGTTCGTGCGTAGAGGAGGGCGGGAGAAAGAAAGAAAGAAGAAGAAAGAATAAAAGGGAAGAGAGAAAAAAGAAAGAAAAAAAAAAGGAAAAGGAAAAAAAATGGTAGATTCTATGGTATCCATAAGATATCATACCTTTGTCCACATGGACCAATGAGAATGTAGCAGTTGAATTATTTAAATCTAAATTAAAAATGATAAAATGGTGTGTTCCAATCAAATGAATGGTAGGTACGGTACCCTATTTTTTAGAAAGGTACCAGAGTTGTCACCAAAAAAATAGGTAGATTGACACATCAGCTACATTACCGGATAATTGGACCATTATCAAATAGATTACAAATTAGAAATTTGCTAAATAGGAGCAAAAACGTTTTGAAATTCCAAAATAGGAGTATCATGTTTTTTATTACCTGAATAGGAGTAATCTGCCAAGTTTGGAAAAAAATGTCATGTTTTAAAGCCTAATAATGCCAAACTTGGCAGAAATTTACTCATATTCAAGGAATAAAAAACATGATACTTCTATTTTGGAATTTCAAAATTTTTTTACTCCTATTTGGGGGATTCTCTACGTCCAAAAGGTTGAATCCCCAACCCCAAGCCCCCCCCCCCCACCTATTTGGGGGATTCTCTCTTTACAAATTTGGCTGTTTTTGTATAATTGGTGGGTATAATTGGGTGATTTTTTAATTGACTTTTTTGATATACTACGAGAACCTATGATGTTTTTACTTAGATTAAAATTTACTGGCCTGGTTCGGTCTGGTCTGTTTAAGTCTTTATTTATTTTATAACTACAGAAGTCTGATATGGTCTGATATGGTCTGAGTTGGTCTGATTTGGTTTGGTCTTGTCTGGTCTGGTCTGGTCAGGTCTGAACTTGTCTGGTCTGGTCTGGTCTGTTTAAGTCTGATCCAATCTGGTGTGAGACTGAAGACAGTCCAAGTAAAAACATTCCTATTTGATAGTTTTCTCATTATTTTATGCTTAATATTTTATAAATAAATTTTATTTTAATTTCAGATTCCAATAGAGGTGTTTAAAGTAGGCCTTTTATTTCAATATTACTAAAATGAATGAAAAAGACAAAAATGCGACATGTTTTAAAATTTTCCATAAAAGTGACTAAAAGTCATTTATTTATTTAATCAAGTATTTATTATTTAATATTCTTTTTATTTTAGTAGTCCATATTTTGCATCCACCAGCACCTCCATAGCCGCCAACCTCAGCACCGCCACCGCCATCACCGGCACCGCCGCTGCCGCCAGTCACTATCTCAGTGACTCCGGTCAAAGTGAATTCACCGCCACAGTGACCCGCCGCCACAGTGACTCCGCCGCCGTCCTGTCCAGTGACGGTCGTCATCCCGTCAAGTGACTGCCGCCACCCCGATCAGTGACTGCCGTTGCCCCTCGTCGGTGACCGCCGCCCGCCACAGTGATTGACTCTGACCATAGTGATTGATCGCCCACCGGCCGAAGTGGCCGCCGGCAAAGTTTTCTACCGCCCAGACACCAAAAAGCTACCTAGCCAAAGTTGCCACCGCCGCTCTTTCTCGTCCCCAATCACTGTCGCTCCACCGTCCACCGTCCACTGTCGTCGCCCGTTCTCCGTCCACAACCGCCACCGCATCCCCAGCCCCCTCCCCTGCCCTAGCTCTACATACTAGATCCTAACCCAACCCCTAGCCCCCTACCCCATCCCAGCCCCTGACAGCCAAGCTCAACCCTGACCACCGCAACTGAACTCTAGCCGCCACCCTATCCCCCAGATCTGGTCGTTGCTGGTCATCATCTCAGATCTGACCATCCATCCATCTGAGGCGAGGTGGGGCGAACGCGGCCTGTGAAGCGAAGCGAGGCGAGGCGAGGCGAGACTGAGGCGGAGGGGCCCTGTGTGGCGAGGCTGAGCGAAGGCGGTTGTGCGGAGAGTCTGAGGCACGGCAAGGCAGAGACGAAGGCGGAGGCGGCCTGTGCGGTGAGTCTGAGGCGCGGCGAGGTTGGGGAGAGGTGGAGGTGAGGCCGGCCGTTTGGCAAGAAATGGTGTGAATAGATGCGCAGAGGAGAGGGAGAAGAAACGCAGCGCAAAGGAGGGTGAGAAGAAACGCAGCGCAGAGGAGGGGGAGAAGAAACGCAGCACAGGCGTCCAAGGCAAATTTGTCACTTTTTTGGAAAAGATAAATTGGGTCATAGTTTTGGAAATGCAAAGCCCATTAGTAATTTCCATGCCATTTTTTCTTTAAAGTGTGAGATGAAACATAGAGTACGGAATTGAAATTTAAAAAAATAACAATAAAGAAATTCATAATATAAAGTATAAAACCCTTAAATATAAAATACTTTCATGAAATATAAAAATGTATCAAATATTACATATAAGATACAAATATTAAATGAAATATGAAATAAAAATTATAAATTACAAAAACATAAACATAAATAATAACTTGAAAAATAAAACCGAAAAATTAAAAAAATTACGCAAATTGAAGCTCAAATATAATACATAAAAACAAGATATACAAAATTAAATAAAAGAAACAAAAAATAAGTAGTCTAAAAATGTGTATATAAAATATGGAAATAAAGTAGAAACTATAATGCATAGAACTTAGTTACTCCCTCCGGTTCTCAAAGAGCTTCACAGTTTGACTTCACACAGATTAAAAAAAAATAAATTTGACTTTACTGTGGAGTGCACTGTTTGGCACTGTTCGACACTGTTTTGCACTGTTTTGGTGTAGATAATTTGCCAAATAAGGAAATAAGAAGAAGTGTGAAGTTAATTTCGGGACTTCCCGAAAAGGAAAGTGGGAAGTTGTTTGAGAACCGGAGGGAGTATCTTTTATCTAATATTCTAGAGAGAATTCCCTTAAATTGAACTAAAACAATGTAGACGTGCACAAATTAGGACTTACATCTTTTATAGGATTAAAAATGCACTAACATAGCAAATTTACCCTTAATGAGACACAATTAAAAGCTTTTCTCAGGACCAGCTCCTAGGCTAATCTGAGAGCATCTCCAATGCTACAATGTGTACGGTGCACATGTGGCATGAGAGAGATACACACAAAATATTGATCTTATGACATTTCTCTCTCTGTCTTTTCACGGTCTTGTGTGTTTTTGGTAAGTTTTACTCAGCAATGTCAACCACAATGTCTACATCTAGACATTATGTTTGACATTGTGAACAAAAACTTATCAAAATGATATAAGGTCCTTTATATAAGGAGAGAGATATGTTAATTATTGTTTTTTGATTGACTATGTCTCATGCCACGTATGCACCGTTAACGTATTATCATTGCAGATGCTCTGACGATGCCATTCAATAAGTGTACAAGATAGGCCTCAACCACCATCCAAG